ACTTGCAAGACATGACAACATGATGGACGCCATCAAGATGCGCATTCCCAGTTCCAGGCACTTCCTTCGCTCATGCCTTCCTCGCTGAGGAAAAGATAGGTGCCAAATCCAGCTACCAGCACACATGTCAATGTGAGATATGTTCCTTAAAAAGAGAACTGCAAATCGCAGATGATAATAAACGCCAATGCAAAGAAATGCAAACATGGAAACCACTATCACCAAATTAAGAGAAAGGCTCTCCTTGTCTCTTCAAAGATCACCTTTTTAGGAACCCTTCCAAAAGGATACTTTGGAAGTGCTATCTTGCTCTTGTCAAAGCTGTCCACATTGATGCAAATGAGGTCCTTCTTCAAACAGCTTCTTTCCCTTGCAAGATAATAGACCTGCCTGTCTTTGTATTGCGATGTGTAGTGATGGAAGAGGTTTTGGGACAAACGGGCATGTTCCTGAAAGTCCTTTGCAGCCCGAATCGCCGCCCGCATCTCGGAACACTGCAAGCACAAACTGTGGGCACTCTTCTTGTGGAAAGTCATGCATGTCTTCCACTTCTTCCAAGCCTTGTAGAAGGTCGAACGTGAGGCTTCTTCTTGGTGCTCTGCACGGCACTGTGCCAGGTAGAGCAAATACAGGTTCCCAGCTGAGCCATGTGGGAGTTCTCGATAGGGAAGCCGTGTTGGATCGCTGGTGTTCATCACCTGCTGGGTTGCGCCTTCAAGACGATGTGACAAGAGCCGGTTCAGCAGTTCATCCCTCAGTTGCTCATCTGATTTCTCCAGTAGCTCGTTCTTGGCAAACCTTGCATGTCCGTGTAAAAGTGACTGACAAGTTCATTGATAAGTTGATTCATACCCATTGAAAGAAACAGCAAAATTTTATAATTGCAATCGCAAAGAGCTTTGTGGGCATTGATTCAGCGGCTTCATGATACAAAGCAATGAAGAAAGCATTGCAAGAGTCGGTTGAAGCTGCAGAACGTGTTGCCAATCCTTGTTTGAGCTGCACCATGCTGCACAAATTTGAATGAATCTTTGCCAAAAACTATCACTGTCAAACCTGGAAAGATTAAGACTCAAACTCACGGACAAGTCTCCACATTTGGTTCCTCTCTCATCCAAGCCTCTGTGTCTTGCTCTTGTTCGTTGTAGCCGTGATTTGCCAATGCCCATGAACCGTAGCCAGCTTTGGCGGCACAGCTGATGTCCTACCAAGTGCTGCTATAGGAAGCTCTTTGAGGCATAGGAAGCTCAAACACTCAAAAGCAAAACCCATATCAAACAATATAATATAATATGTTTTAATGACAATCTCCTTCAATGTAGTAGTTCCTCTTGCTCGAGTTGCCACTTTGAAGGCTCCACAAAACCGAGTCCTGTACCTGCTTTCCAAGTGACCAAAAGGTAGAACATACCTTTTGCAGGGCAGAACAGGGCATAGAGCATTTGCAAGGGCATGATGGCTTGGCAAGAACAGCCTTGATACGCTCTGGACACATGCCATTGCAACTGTAGGATGATTGATGTCCAGGGTCATTGCAATGGAACGCCTGAAGCCCTGCACTGGACAAATGGACATCCAATGTTGCTCCATCATCTGCATCTGAAAGGCCAGCAGAGCTCCTACAGATGGTTCATAATTCTAAATTCTAACTCTGAACACTCACTTGACTGTTTTTCACAACACATCCCAAAATCCAAATACAAAACCGTAAATTTCAATTAATTTCAATAGCCCAAGTCTCGAACCAGCAGAGTCATCAGCTTCAGAATCAGAGTCATAGCGCCAAACAGAATCCTCAGAACATCGCATTCGCTTCACATCTCTTGGTGGGACCACATCTTCCTCCGAGCTTTCATCACAGCGCCATGTTGAAGCCCTTGGTGTCGCTTTTTCCTCCTCCTCATCATCATTGTCATCCCAACGATGCAGGATTGGCATGCACAAACAGGATCAGTTTGTAAATTCGTGTTGATCAGGTCGGGCATGACATAAAGATCATAAAGCATGTTGTGAAGAAGAAGCATTATGTTTTTAAGGCAGTTTGTCGGACAGTGATGATGTTTAGTAAAAAATTGTTTGTAGTGGTGGACAGCTATTCAAGACGTTTGACAAAAAGAAGCAGAACCCTACATACTGCGGCGGCGGCCATGCACGATTCCATGCACCATGCCATGCACAATGCTTCAAACCTTCGAACCCTCGGTCCATGGTCAGTGGGGCAGCTTTTGTGTTCTCAGCGATACATATTGCGTCGAAGGTTTAACCTGACATGTTGCCACACATATATCGCTGGGCCAAGGCAGGGTTGACCACCGCCAGGCAAGTGCAAATCGCTACCGCAACTGCCCTCAGAGCAATGGAATTGCCACCCAGTTTCCGAAGGTCCTGAGATGGATATGCGTACATATGTGTACCATATATATATATATAGTCTAACTTGCTGCAGTCAAGGGGCAGAATTGGATAGATTGTGAAGCTTGAGAGTGTTGACCGGGACCCCCATCAACAAAAGAACTTCGTAGCCTTGGCCAGGAGCTTGGAGCTGAGAGTCTGAGAGGCCTTTGGATTGAAGCCAAGCAGCCCAATAAGAAGCGTTGCTGAGATCCAATTAAGTATTGTCCAGCTGGCCTTGGAGCATGGAATGGTCAGCCTTGTTTATTGGTTTGCTTGGTTAGTGTATGTTAGTGTTTCAATAGTTTTGGATTAGAGTTTCACATAGTAGTTTTCTGATCCGGCTATGGCACGTCAGCACCATCAACGGCTCATGATTGCCATAGATCACTGGCATTCGATCAATGCTTTGCGTAGGGTTGATGCACTGAAAGAGTCCCCGGTGATAGATTTTGAGGTCCAGGGCCTGATGCAGAAAGAACCACTGAGACTGAACGAAATTGTGGTGCTGAGAGATAGCCAGGCCTCACGTTCACGCTGCGATGCGACCTGTGGAGAAACCAGCGGATAGGCCTTCTTGAGGCAGCTTGTTGCTTCCTCAACTTTGGTGTACCAAATTTTGTGGTTGCAAGATCATGTAGCCTAGCAAGATTTTTGACCATGATACTGCATAGGCAAGTAACGGCCACTCCATGTTTCTTAGCATAGTCAGCATGGTGCTTCTTCCATTGTGGTTCACCACCGTTCCTTCCCCAAAGTCAAGTGATGGAATGCAGAACAAGTTGAACCGCAGTCGAATGCAAATAGGATTAATGCAGCTATGGGTCCCGGTCTCTGACTTTTTTTTGTGGCAAACATAGCCATTCTTAGTCGCTTTCTGAATTCAATGTCCTCCTGTACCATTGGATCACCACGGGGTAGAAGAAGGTCTTTCCTGACAAAACATATTATTATGACTTTGTTCGATGTCACAAGCAAATACAGACCACATTCCCACTGCCAAGCAACCAATGAACATCGGGTTGGGACTGCAACAAACCCTTCATATTCTGAAAGACCTTGTCCAGCTGGCACTCATTCTCCATCAGTTCCTTCCTTATGAGAAGGATGAAGATACGCTGGCGAGATATCGGGCTGCCATGTTGATACCTCAGATCCGGAACAATCGGAACAATGATTCATGAACAACACAATGACAAAGTGCATCGGTCTACTGTCAAGAGGCGGGTCAATGATCTCTGTGGCCACTGCATACCTCAGAGTTCTTGACTGCAGTGAGTCCTGTGAGACCCTTTATCGAAGCATGTTGAAACAACATCAGGCCAAAGACTCAGCAAGTTCTTCTTCAATCGTCTCAAGCACTGATGGCAAGACATCCTGGAAGCCGAGCACGTTCTCCAGAATGCATGCCTTGGATGTGACCAGTTGCATAATGTGTGATGAACACCTGGGAAAAAGAAGCAACATATTCGATTCAAGAATCGACCGGCTGCGCCTCCGAAATATTGTCCAGTACTCTCCACATCTGGGCCATATTGCCATCGGTCCAGGGGTTGCGTCCAGAGCGCAAACGAGAATACGGGGTGCATGGAAACCCCGCTGTGTATAAAAATATCTTCCTCTTCACGCCCTTCATGTCGGTGTCAAAGATGTTCCGAAAAGTCCTGATAAACTATAGAAAAGAATTTGACTCTCAGCAGTCTGAATCAATCCAGCCCGAATCAAGCCAGGTGTCTGCACCGGCGGTGGCAGGTTCTGCTTCAGAAAGACCCGCGCAGCTCGATCTCGTTCGCTGTTGTGCCTCAGCTGTGAATGCAATGCAAGCCATCGTCAGTAGAAAGAAAGATGGAACCTGGGAACATCTTGAGCCAAGAGGCACATACTCAAGTCTAACTGGCCGCTTGCTGTTCTTCAGGAGCATCTTCAGTGCAAACCATGGCGCATCAATCCCACTGCCTGATAGGATAATCAATCACAAAGTGTGCAACTATCAAAAGGCGCGAGAGAGTCAAACACCTAGCCAAGGCACAATCAGAAGCATAGGTGAACGATTGCAAGTTGGAATCAAAGTAGTCCAAGAATCGGTGGCATCCTCAGCTGTGAGACACACAGGCAGGGCTGAAGTGCTGAACACGCTGCACAAACAAACCAAGCAACTTCCCCTTTCAAAGAACTCCTTCCCAAAATCCAAGTAGGCCAATTGCTCCGCCGTCAACTGAACCTTCCAAGGGGGCGCCCAGCAGAGAAAGTAAAAGGGGATGCACAACATTCAAACAGCAGTCCCATCCTCTTCTCCATCTGAAATTGACAAAGCCATTGGCCATGCATGGACGACTTTGGGCCAGCATGGCTGCTTAAGACCCGGTCTGTGTTTGTAAGAGACCCACTTGTAGTGAGACTGGCATCTGTGTAATTTCAGGTAGTTTGCATTCATCTCGATGAGGGAATCCCAAGTCCCATCTTCGCCAGCTGTCAGCAAACTAATGTATGACTCCCAGTAGTAGACCGTTGACAAAGAATCACATATTGTGACATTCTCGTAATTAGGATTTTTTTTTACATTATATGACAGAATTCCCTCGGCTTCCCGAGAATTCCTGTCAGGCTGCTGGTCACTGAGGACCTCGTAGGCCTTCTTCAGCGCGTCAAAGCGATCGACGTCCCCGCCCTTGTCCGGATGCTCGGCCAGCGCGCGCTGGCGATAGGCCTTCACCACGTCATCCAGTGGAGCGTCCTCATCGATGCCTCCCGTATCGGACGAGTGGCGCGAGGCGCGTGGCGTGAGGCGCGTGGCATCAGCGTGGCGTCAGCGTGGCGCGTGGCGCGTGGCGCGTGGCGTATGTGGGTGCGGGCGAGCATCGGAAGAAGCGCGCTTGGTGTGTGTTCTTTCTTCTTCAGCGGAAGCAAGTGGTTTGGTGGAGCGGTTGGAAAAGGACATGGTTTGGAGGTTTTGAATGGTTTTGATAGGTTTGAGGAAGGGATGAGTCTGGAATATTATTACGTTGGGAGCTCCGCAGTATGTTTAGCTGGGGCTGTTGATCTTGCGACTTGAAGTATGCATGCAAGGATCTAATTCGCAATATGATACCAACTACCATGTCATGCCTCAAGATTCCCCAATTTTGAGACCTGACGCTCAACAAATCAAACAGTCATGACTCAAGACTCCATGTGATTAAGCCACCTCTCAACGTGATTCAAAAGGATTTACAGCAGAACAGGATCGAGTTTTGCCGAGATGCTGGGGACCCAGGCCACCATGCAACTTCATAATTTGTTCTGCCGAAGCTGAATTGTTTGTGTATATATATATATAGTCCATAGATTCTTCCACCTGCCAGGCCATTTCCTTCTAAACCCGCAATCTTCTAAACTTCTCGCTGTGAGCGATGGACATGATTCGGAACCACATAAAAATCCTGAAGGGGTTGAACATCCGTTTACAAATGTTTGGTATTCCTGGCTCAAAGTCCAACAAACAGGACAGGTGAACCACCACTGCCCTGTGAGTTCGGAGCATTGCACTGGAAATTGTGTATGTCCTCCTAAAAGGGGCAACCTGTCGCAGCTCCCCAACTCCCCGCTTCTCGCCTAAGATCTCGTAAAGTGTGTCATCACCATCTGACTCCACCATCTCTATGTACAAGCAGCCAAACTACTGCCAAGGAGCAAAAAGGGCTGTGTGATGCATGCAAAGCGTTCTGGGCATTCAGTCCAAGAACTTAGAGCTCCTGGCTACACCCCAAATGCTGAACCTGATGATGGCATTCGGGTTTATGATGGTGGCTTACAGCACAGCCAGCGAGATTCCGACCTTGAATTTTAGTTGGTTTTGGTTCTTTCCACGGTCTCTTTTAATGATCACCTTCTATCTCATCTCGTGCTCAACCAATGGAAAGAAGATTGGACGTAGTCACATCATCCAATGTCACTCTCTTGTTCTCTCGAACTCTTCTATTGTCGCTTGTGTCGCATGACCTCGATGAGACATCAATCAAGCGTTTGGGTCGACCAACACCCCCAACGCTTGGATCCCGAAAAAAGGATCCGCGATTTCTGGGTACACATGGGTCGAGCACATCGCGCGATTGATTTGAGTCCAACACGCCCACCCTCCTTTTGCATCCTTTGCACAAAACCTTCGCCCCAAACATCTCAAAGCTCTGTCATGTGGTCCCAAGCTGGATGTAGTCTGGTCGTCCAAAACATCTCAAACCCCTTGAGCTTCGCGTGTCCAAACCCAGTCCTTGAGACCCAAGACCCCCCTGCTCTTGGATTCATTGAGGATCTTCATCTGCTCACAACCACCTCGGGAGCTCCAAAAGGGCTCTTCTGCTCTTCTGGCAGCTCGGAGCAAACATATATATTCGCGAGCCATGGATATGTGGAGATCATCCAATTCAAGTCGCAACCCTTTTGGCTCAGGAAGTTCAGCACAGAAAGAGATGGGTTCAAATTCCAGGTTCAACCATGTTCAATCCAACACATGGATTCAGGACTCCCATCTCTAAGTTGCCACCACTATGGTTGGTCCTTTGCCAAGGGTTTCACCTTGGGCAGTTTAGTTAGAAATCCCCTCTTAACAAAAGGACTAAGGGTCTAAGAGTACGCCTGAGGAGAGTCCGCCGATATATAAAGTCTTGAATCCAAAACGTCCAAGGGAGCTTCGCAAGAGGCCCAGGGAGCGAACATGTTCATCCCGTTCCTCAGGTCGTGCGTTTTTCACATGCTTGGGCTATGCATGTGCAACACAAAACTCATGTCAACCATGGGACATCCACCTTCCAGACCTATCTCAATTGGGTGTATCCCAATATATGGGAGTTGATCTAAATTCCTTTATCCGGGATCCGTCATTTTCGCCAAAAAAACATTACTTTCGCCAAACTTTCGCCTTCCTGGGTTTTAGCTTTCGCCGAAGTACGTTGTATTTATGTGTGCCATGTATGTTGTGTTTTGTTCACGTCAATGGCTTCTTCTTTACTGGCAAACACAAAATAGAAACTTCACTGTTTGTCAGCATGTGTCTTCTACTTAACTGTTGACACCCAGTACGTCTCTTTTGTTTCTCCTGGGTGTCAGCAAGAATCAAAATTGCAAGAATCACTGTAGTAGCCGGTCACTCAAACTTACTCATAATGGGCTGGGGGTCAGATGTGGCAGGGTGAACTTTCGCCAATCTTGAGCTGAACTTTCGCCAAACTTTCGCCTTTTGCGGGGTAGAGTTTTGTGGCAAAGCCACCCCCCAAAGCAGGAGCAGGAATAGTAGTAGTAGTAGTAGTGGTAGTGGTAGTGGTAGTGGTAGTGGCAGTGGCAGTGGCAGTGGGAGTGGTCGTGGTCGTGGTCGTGGTCGTGGTGGTGGTAGTGGTAGTGGTAGTCGTAGTCGTAGTAGTAGTAGTAGTAGTAGTAGTAGTAGTAGCAGCCGCAGCAGCAGCAGGTTATCTAACTTCCACAGCTTATCTAGCTTCTGAGTCACTGCCACCAGCTGTTCAGAAAGCAAATGAACATTCATACAAAAGTACATATTTAATCTTTCGCCAGATCTTTCGCCAAAAATAAATTTACTTTCGCCAACTCGAGAAAAACTTTCGCCAAATGAGATTTTGATATGTTCCGGGTCATCGTCATACACACTGCTGACTAGGACCTTTAGATCGACAACCATATCCCAAATACAAGAGACAGTGGATGATGATGGTTAGGCCCTTCGGAACATAGCGAGTCTTGTGGCGACTGTTACAGGTCTTGGGACACACCCTAACTGTGTCCACATCAATCCACACCCTAACTGCTCGGTGTTTGGTTGGGACCTGTCAACCCCAACTCCATCCAATCCCAAACCACGCAACGGCCTTCATTGAAGCGTCCCACGCAAAGGCGCCAAGCCTCGCCGGTGAACATCCGGCACCGGGTGTGCGGCCGGTGGCCCCTGGGCCTTCGTCTTCCAAAAACGCGTCAATGTTCATATTCCAGGATAACGCTGACCACACTAAGGAAAGGGTGGTGGATCATAGGTGTTTAATTCATTCCCAGACCTAACCTGAGACTAGGATATATAAATGAAGGCACACCACATGTCCGACAAGGATATACGAGTAACTGGTACCACCAATAACATGTCCTAATTACACAATACCCTCCGTTGGTCTTGACGTTTGATTGAATAATATACTCTGCAGCCGCGGCACTCTTGTACCCCTGCAACCCTAATACATCATATAGTACATTCCGTATGTCTGGAATGTTGCTAGAATCCTGTGCATCCACACATTACAGTCCACTCCGTTTGTGGGGGCGAAGACCTGCCCCTTCCAACGAGTCCTGCCTCTCGCCAGGCATCCAAGCCATCACTGCTGGCAGCGCCAGGCACGCGGTTTTGCGCCTCCCAATTCATGCTTCAAGGCAATTGGTATTTGTATCACACTTATGGATACTCAAGGATGATAAACATTGATTAATACTAAACACTGGAGTGGGGCATGGTTTCCCATAAACTGAAGTACTGGAAGAAAACATACACCAACACCTGGAGCATCCTGGAGCCATGTATTCAATATGTTGTTAAACCAAACAAGTGATCTGGAATGATCTGGACTCCATGTGGCGTCAGCAGGCCAACTCATTGGATTCTGACATCGAACCAAAAAATACCAAACCTCACCCGACTTGAAGGGCAGGTGGGACACTGCTCATTGGTTTCTCTGACATGGCTCCTCATGCCTCGACATCGGGATCGCTTGTTCTCCGACCAGCGAAACGAGCCAAAACCGAACCGAGCGGATCGTTCGCGCCTCGATCTGAAACGACAAGATCACAGCAGGTTGCCACACAGCTCCCACCTGCAGTTTCACAAAACATGAGTCAACGGGTCCAGTATATAACGACAACAAACGTCCGTATACTGTGTATAGTTTTTATTGTTGGTTCTGCAAGCAGAAACCAGAACTCATCATTACTTAAAATCGATATACATCTCCCCACTAGACTAGTGGTTTTCCCATGTGCTTCGCTCGACCTGGCTCCACCTTGACGCGAAAAACCAGGGTCCTGCACCACCTGGGGATTTCATACGACCGGCAGGTGCAGGATGAAACTTCTCGGAATCCGAGCATCCAAATGAGGATCTGACCAAGAATCACGAGCAAAATTACCAGTGCTTGTATCATCCAAAACAAACCAGACTGATCAAGAATACAGACCAGCCCCCTTAAAACCGGACTAAAGCCCACCCAAACGTGCAGGCAAATAAAAGCCGTGTCCTATTCCTTTCTGTGGGTCCAAAACTGGGGGGCCCTGCTTGACAAACCATGAATTTGACCGACTCGGTGGGTCAGAGTTGACTTGAACATCGACCTTCACAGCGAAGAAACGGGTCAAAACAAAAGGAGTACTGTGTGCAGGGGTACATAGTGACCCCAAAATAGATACACACATAGTAAATATCCTCTAAAGCAATCCATGTACTCGAATTTGTGGACAATCTCTTTCTGACCTGTCTATCTACAATTTGGACCATGCAACCAGTATAACTCAACCACATCTCCACAAAGGAACTTCACAGTTTTCGGCTGCCTCGAGCTCCGCCACATGCTGCGCACCCTGGCAGTTGCTGAGCTGAGTGCCAATCAGCACAGCCTCGGACGCCCAGGAAGCCCATTTCATTCCACCGACACGCGGCAAGAGAGGTGTCGGTGTCGACAAACAAAACAAAGAACCCAAGGGGAAAACATACTTTACAATGAGTGTTTAATGATTTGTTGATCTTTCTTGTCCAGGACCTTCAGTTTGTGATCCAACTTAACGATCCCGAGGTCACCACTCGTCCTTAAAGAGGTTCACTTAGACTGAGACTCCAAGGTCACAAAGTGAAAGTCCTGGTTTACTCCCTATAGGGCTCTTGGCCTACCTCCTGCTCGAAAATGGTTGGGTTGGGTGCGAGGGGGGTCTAACCACCAAACCTGAGGATATGGACTCTTCATGTTTGCCGGGGATGATGCGAGCATTCGCCGGCGGAGACGAGTTTTTTTGGGGCCAGTCCGGCGGAGTCCGGAGTGGACGGTGCGTTGATGCGCTGCAACTGCAGAACTGTCCAAGTTGGACAGGGGATGACAGGTTGAACTGTCAAGTTTGAACCCCACGATTTTCGCAGACTTGCACGCGAAGGTTGATGAGTCTCAAAGGGAGACAAGTTGATGATTTTCATTTTCATGATCATTCCACGGACTGCTGGAGGGTCCCCTCACGATAGCTTCAAGGTGACATTAGAGTGAAGATCACACACCATCACACGCCCATATTACACACCCATCTAACTAACAAGTATCTAGGCCTAACCCTCTCTTTGTTTAAAGCCCAAATCCACCAAACAGAGGGTTATATCATATATACCTAAGATGCTCCAACTGTGCCATGTTTTTGCCAAACTTGGCTGGTTTTATGGATGAAAAGGCATCAATTTGGCACCGTTGGAAGATCCAGGTATAAACCACGTCGGCTTGACCCAACGAAGTTTCAATCCCCGCGGTACGCGTCCCGCGTCCCAGCAGCTTCCAACGGCGCTGCGTGACTCGGCGGGTTGCGCACACGACATAAGGCCTGGACGGGTGATTCGGTGGTCCAGCCACGACACATCACTATGCAGGTTCGAACAAATGGCGGTCCAAGTCTAAGCCAGTTAGAT